TAATGTGTAAAGAACTTATCTTTGGTCATAAATCTCTTTCCTTTCTGTCTCCCATTAATTTTTAAAAATATCACCATTTTTATTGTTCTCAATTATTGTAATCTAAATTGTACAATTATTATTTACATTTGTACTGTTTTTTTATAGGTCATACGAGGACCAATTGTCCTGATGTAAGAAGATGCGAAATTTGCAGAAGGGAAGGTAATGTGTAAAAAACTTAATTATCGATAACGTGCGGCGTCATTGCGTCGCGGCACGTAACATATGTTTGTGTCGTTTAAAAAATCAGTAACTATTCCTGCGACATGTGCTCTCGCATTATCTTATTGCATCAATAGAAAGTTGTCGCCAATAAATTCTTGGTGCGGGACAACGTATGGAATAATAATTTCATCAATATAATGATGGGAATTCACATTTCGTTCAAAAAAGGTCTGTATGAGCGTCTGTCGATATTCCGGCCCAAACCATAATAGACCCATCATTAAAATTTTCTTTCTTTTTCATGGCACGTGGAGCAAATAGTTCTCCAGGACGACAATACACTCATTCACGTCTGTCGGGCGCTCTAAGATAAAATCGGCATTCGTCCGTGAATAACACACGACTCCAATCACGAATATTCCAGCTTTGATGTCTCATTGCAAAATTTAATCGAGCTTCACGATGTCGGTATTTTAAAGCTGGCACTAATACTGGTCTCCGATATTAAAGATTTTTTTTCCACAAGTCTTCGCCGAATGGTGCAGTCGTCGCTCACCTTCACTCCAATTTGTTGCAAATTGTTTTTTATTTCGACAGATGTAATATGCCGATCTCTTAGTACCGATACAATTATATAATTATATATATCGATCGTCTTGTGCCGTGGTTACATCTTGGACGACCAGATCCAGGTCTCCGATCGTAACTATCAGTTTCCACATATCGGCTATACACTCGCTGTACAGTTGTACGAGGAACGTTTAAAACGTTCGCAACATAACATTGACTTCTTCCTATTTATTAGCGCTACAACTTGTGCAACTGTTGCCGAATCGATTGGCATTATCGCGATTGAATTCAAGTATTCTGACACGTTCATACACCTCAAAACGCTACGAATTCTCTGAACTTATGTACAGACTACAGAGTAAATAGCTGCGAGAGATAATCAGATTGTCATTTGTCACCTATGTTCATATCATCATATATACATATATCGATTCGTTTAAAATTGTGCTATCTTTCCATAGCATTTTTAAATCGTATTTCGCAAAACAATAATAATTCTAAACTGCGACAAGCATCGCTAAACATATACAATGATATATATTTATGAGTTATTAGACAAAGAAAATATAGTTTTAAATTGTACTTAAGATTTGCTCCTAAAAAGAAATACATCGTTTCATTAGCCTGTAATCCATGAAATGTGATTGAAAATATATGAGCACCGGTCTTATAGAAATGTTTTAAACAAATTATTTCCAAGACATTTGTACACTCTCCGATAAATGACCAACAAAAAAATACTAATATAAAATAATATAATAGTATCCATGAATCATTCCATGAATCAATAATAACAACAGGTAAGAAAACTAAATTTATTGCAAAAGATAAATTTTTATTTTGATATATTAATTTAATTCAAACTTTATAAGTCCCACATATCTTCTTCCATTCTAAGAAATTCCATGAGCGATACATCTTATCAAAAATAATATTGAATAATGCTCAATGATTCTCTTCTGTATCATCATTAAACATAACTTCGTCGTCAGAAACTTGTTGTGTGGGTCCTGGGGATACTGGAGATCCGGGATCGGTCATCCATTTTTTAATTGTTCTTGAATTTGGCAATAAGTTATTAAACGTTTGCCTAACATAATTATATGCTTTACTGGAATAATAATGCAGGGTTATTGCAAAAGCTTGTAAGTCTTCTGTGTATTCCAATTTTTGTTTGTCTTCTAATTCTAATTCTAACTTTCTTTTTATTAATGCATCAAGAACAGGTGTACCAGTTTCCTACAATCAAAACAAAAGAGAATTGTATTATTATTATTATTATTATTATTATTATTATTATCATCATAACCTAGTCAGCTAAGTCTTAAACAGATTTTGTAAAACGTCTGCTGACAAATCAAAAACCAATTTGACACAAAATCTGTTATGTCCGATACTGGCAACCGAGTGCCACAAAAATATAACAGAATTTGGCACTGTTTTTATTTGTTTATTCGACTAGTAATATATTTCAAATTATTATTGTTTATAATTAATAGGGTGTGAATGTTCGGGCATGATCTCGAGGCGCTCGAGAAACGCTGCGTACGAGTTAGTCGGATGCTCGCTGAAATGAGATAGCAACATTTCTTGAGGAGCTTAGTTTTACGAATCCTAAATATTTTTGTCAATTTCAATTGAAGCCAATTTTCCTCTAAAGATTTCGGCATTTTGAAGAAAAGCGTTCTCACGCGATTTCGAATCAATAAAAAAAAATATATAGAAAATAATTTCCGCGCTTTATTTACGTTAAGTAGACCGCGCGCCAGCCGAGATAGATATTAGATATCATATTCGAACAGATTGGGCTTCAATTAGTTTCCTCGAGAAATGTTATCTTATTTCAGCGAACTTGCACGCAGCAGTTCGCACGCGTCCCGGCACCGCGCCCGAACATCGCGTGCCCGAACATCGCGCATCCTAAATTATGATTGCGCAAGCTTGTCTGGATAGACTCTAATACTGTACATATTTATGTATACGAAATTACTTTTTTACAACATAGATATTACAAAAATTTGTAAATACGTTGTAAAAATGTTAAAAATGAATCTTTTCTACGAATATTTCTAAGAAATATGAAAAATATGTAAATACAATTTGCATATTATCTCATTAGTTGTTAAATCTGCTTAATAATTTTGTAATTTTTTGTTATTTTGTGACAAAAATATTAATACAAAATTTGCCTGCTTTTAAGATATCATTGTACATACAGGTATTGTATGTACATGTGTGTGCATTGTGCATTTGTATTCAAATTTTAAATCTGTTCTTTTTAGTCGAATTACTTGCACGGTTCAGCTTCCTGCTTTTCTCTTCACGTTGGAGAAAAAGAGAAAAAAGTGAACTAGGTAAGAAATTCAGTTAAAAAGAACAGGCTTCTTGACTTTAATTGCAGTAGAACTCCACAACAGTATGATAATTTTCTAGAGAAAAATCTAAAGAATAATTAAGTTAGAATCTTTAAATATACTTAAAGTATAAAAGAAATTTTGATTGATTACGGTAAAAATTACATTTATACAGTCTAAATAAAAAAAAATAAAAGACAATAAATAAAAAATTATAGACGTACAGCAATGGATTATTATAGAGTTCTACTATTAACTACGTTCATTACATAATTTATATGCAATTTTTTCGCATACCAGTAATTCTCTTGCAGCTTCTATTGTAATCAGTTTTTTGCCCTTAAACGTAGCGACCAATTTAGAATAAAATTCAACCTTTTGGGATAATCTCATGTTTTGTTTTTTAAGATTTCTTATCTTCATTTCTTTCTCCTTTAATTTTTTGTTCATTAAAGCTAAATAAATTTGCCTACTTTTCAGCGAATCAAAATGTTCTTCTGTTAGTTGTCCAAAATGTGCTGATTGCCTTATTTTTCTATCAGTTTTCCTGACTGACGAGGTATTTGTGATATTATCGTCATCATCAGTTATTTCGTTTATTGGTGTAAACCAACCACTTATTTCTTGTTCTGCATTCTCGTTGTGTGAATTCTCATTGTCCGATTCTTCTGTTTTTTCCATTAACAAAATTGTATTTTCATCATACAAATCATTTAGATCTTCCACCTTATCATTATTTTTATCATTCAAGTCTGCCGTTTTGTCACTTGACTGATTTAATAAGTATTGCGATTGAAGTTCGACATAACACAACAATTGTTCGGAAGTATCAACAGCTTCAATTTCTTCTCTAAAAGAAAACATTTTATAAAGCTATATTTAGCTTACTTTATAAAATATAACATTAATAAGTCGAGAATTGAAAGAATTCACGGAATCACTAAAGTGTTCCAGTGTGCGGAATACTTACTCATCCAAATTGTGATTTTCTTCTATATTCAAACTAGGTACAGCATCAGGTTTAAGAAATCTATAATTATTACTATTATTATTTGGAACATAGGAGTTTGCCTCAAAATGAGCAGAGCATATTTTAATTGAGGACAACTTGTCAGGATGCTTTATAAATTTTTGTAACTTGCAAGCGTCTACCCATTTTTTTCGAAGAACAGGGTCTTTTGGAATTCTGGAAAACATTATATATATATATATATATATACATATACACTACAAATATGTACATTTGTGGACAGATCGGTTGCGACATTTTTTTTTATAGGTTTCAAAATGTACTAATATTTTGCAAAAGCAAGTAACGATTGATATTGTACTATCTCTAAAGATAGTACATCGTGGTTCGCATTTGCAAAATATTAGTTACCTATAAAATATTATATATTGTGTATATTAAATATATATTAATATATATATAACTTAATAACTTATAAAAAACTTATAAGAACTTATAAGAATTTGTAAAACTTATAAAAACTTATAAGAAACTTATAAAAAAGTGTCGCAATCGATCTATCCACGACTATATATAAACTTTTGTCGATATACATATATATTTATGTTGTATAAGGTTAATATAAACATTTGAGCAGAAAAAACCAGATATACTCTTTGTAAAATTAAATTAGTTTTATTACATTTTAAATCATATATGATTGCTCACTAAATACTTACAAATGAAAGGAAACATTGCAATTTTTTGACCACTTTGCACCACATAATTCACATTGTTTAGTCATTTTAACGATAGGTTGTCAACTGCAGTCAACTGTCAACACTGCGCGACCATAGAGTCCTAGATTATCAGAGAAGCGCGACCGGTGTTACGAGTCCTGATTGGACTCGCAAATGGCCAATCATAAGATTGATTTATCGCTATTATAAATGGCTGCCGAATAAATCAATCTTATGATTGGCCATTCGTCGCCATTTTTAATATTTTCTAGTACTTTTGCGATACTGCCATAAGCCGGTCGCGCTTCTCTGATAATCTAGGACTCTACGCGACCAGAGAGAATCAGAGAAAGCATGAGAGCGGCCCATCCCAGCGTTTTTTACAACACTGGCAAAAGTTTTGACCTCCTCCGTACACTAGCGCCAATTGCATCCACCTTTGAGATGGAACTACGTACAGCCATTGTCGATAAAATGTGGAGCGTGTCCGCGCTACGTCCACAAAGCAATGAATAGAGAATATATATGTATCATTATATATATTTACGTAATTGACGTAATTTACGTAAATATATAATATAATGATACATATACATATACATATATTCTCTATCCACTGCTTTGTGGACGTAGCACGGACACGCACCATATTTTATCGACAATGACTGTGTATGTAGTTCATCTTGCTTCCATCTCAAAGATGGATGCAATTGGCGCTAGTGTACGGGGAGGTCAAAATTTTTGCCGGTGTTGCGAAAAACGCCGGGATGGCCACTCTCATGCTCTCTCTGGCGCGATCTTTGAGTATATAAACATGAAGGGAGAATGTTGGCTCAAAAACCACAGTATAACCAGTAGGTCCACTTCGTGTCGGCACCTTTGATCTCCTTTTCCAGATCACGTGAGCATCCACCATGTTAAATCCAGGACCGACATTGAGAAAAGTACCTCACAATTGTAATAAAACAGATAAATAATAATATGGA